AACTTGCAATTTTTATATGTAACTGTAAATGATTTAATCAATTTACTATTGTTTACCGTCTTTTCAATTTTAAAAGTTGATAGTTTATCTTTTTTTAAATTGAAAATTGACATTTTGTAAGTGATCAATTTACTAAGATGACAATTATTTATCCTCAAATAATTTAAGTGAAAAAAGGCAAACATGACAACAAAATTGTTCTTCTCATAAATAGATAGAAGGCCACAAAATTAATATTGTCCGACAATTATTTACCCACTTACATAATAATTCAAGGGTATAATTGGAAAAAGTTTTTTATAAAGTTTTAATCCAAGCACAAGATGAAGTGGGAAACAATGAACCAAACACTTAGTAAAAATAATCTCTGCATTACTAATCCCTGCACTATTAATCCATGCATTACTAATTTCAGCATTACTAATCCCTGCATTATTAATCCTTGTACCAAACGACCCCTTAAAGAGTTAAGTAGAAAGTGCCCCTCGTGCCATCGTCGTCGCTCGCTCAGCCTCGAGTACTTTAGCAATCAATTGATAATTTTTTAGACAAATTTTATGTAATCAATCTCATTATTCCTTTTTAAAAAAAATTAATTCAGAATGCTAATTAATTAATTAACAGAATTAATTCGCGCAACATAATTGTTTGAAATTTCGCGTAACGGTAAAGTCGCTCAGAAGGGATGTTCCTTTCGAACATACACTTCTTTTCCCAAAAGACACAAACGTTCTGGAAAGACATGTCTGAACAAATGCGTTTACACTCTTGTCCGAATAGACGCGTTCCTTGCTACAATTGGCTATAAATAGAGAAATTTCTCTCATTTTTCAAACACTGAAAATTTCTCTCTTCTACATACATTTTCTTACAAATCAAATTGTCGATCAACTGAGTCTGTTTGTGCTCTCGTTGCTGTTTTTTTTAGTTCGCAAATTATTGAAGTTTGAGATACCGCTACTTCTTTAATAGTTAATCCATTTTATCTTGGGAGGAATTAATCTACAACCTCAAATACTTGAGAGGATTAAATTATTTAGGGATACACAGTGAATTATGTGGACTCGAATTATTTATTTTCTGTCTATTTCATCTTTTTTATTTCTGTTTTACTAACTTGAATACAAGAGATAACAGTAAATGTACGTTCGAGAAAACTATTTACTCAAAACAAATAGCTAGTATTATTTAATTATGATTAATTATTATATAATTTAGCTTTGATTTGTAAATTTTTGTTGGCCACCAGTCACACTCAATCCCTAATCTTCCAACTTAATTACAACAATATTTTGTGAAAGATCCTCCTTAATTAAGTAAGATGCCTTGTCCTTTTAGCACATTAATTAGACATGAATTGTCACTAACAACTAATTAAATCTCAAATAGAGGCGAATAAAGGATCATAAGTCAATGCCGCGTACTCCATAAGTACACTTGATTAATTATTTACTACGGTAAATATTACTTCGTTCGTCCAACAATAGTTGTCCATTATATTATTTTGAGATATCCAACAATACTTATTTACTTTATGAAATCAATGTACAATTTTATACTTAGTTTCTAATTTACTCTTCTATTTATAGTTTCTTAAGAAGTATGTAAAGTCAATAGTGAGCAAGTATTGTTGGACAAATGGAGTACATACTTGAGAATTTTTTTTAAAGTATCTTTTAAACTTTTTTTAAAAAAACTAGTTCAAAATATGTATTTTTTTATTTATTTTATGTTGGCCATGCATATAATTTAACTCAAATATTAACATGCCGTTGCTGTTTATATATATCAAGTCATGCAATTTAGCGGTATGTAGTGGTTAAAGAATTAAGTTAGAATGCATGTCACTTAATTACGATCAAGTAATAAGTACGTATAGGAAAATATCCATGAATTAGATGTAAACATAGTCAATAAGCAAGTTTTATGTGAAAATAATGTGTATATATATGTGTGTAAAAGGTAAATATAACACTCGTCAAATGTACGTACTATCAATGAATTTGATGTAGCGGATAAAATTGTTTGAGTTTTGAATATAAATTTTCTTTTTATAGAAAGCATTTTTTTAATACGTGACGCGAATCTAAATTAATCCTACTCTAACGCGAATGCTTAGATATTAATTTTTGAGCACAGATAAAATTGGTTTGGTTTGGCTGTAATTAGCATTAATTAATGACAATTGACACGTCTCTGTTTTCTGGTACCACACCCGTGATCATGCATTATTAGTAACTGTCGTGACATCAATACACCTATAGACTACAATATAAATTAATTTTTGCTCTCTCAAACTACCTACTTATAAATTATTACTTATACTAATACCGTAAGAAAATTAATATTTGCAGTGTACATAAGTTACTATATATGAGAATGTCTCACAGGAGCGGATTGAGTTTTGTGTACTTTTGATGCCCGCAAAATATAAATTCATGTATTAAAATTTCAATGATTAGTCTAAAATTTCAAGAATATTAATATCATCATAAATGAATAAATGTGATGTACCAAGAAATGAGTCATCAACGACATACTCTCTCTCCCTAATTACTTATCCATTTTTGAATTGGTACACCTATTAAGAAAACAATAATTGATATAGTGAGTTTACAACGTTACCCCTATTAATTATGAAGTGGATGATTAAAAGCTTAAAATTTTCAAAAGGTTCTACATTTTCAAAGTAATAAATTGAGGGTATAATAGATATTTTTTTTTGTCCTTTCTTGATTTGTCAAAATGGACAAGTAATTAGAGACAACTAAAAAATGAAAAATGAACAAGTAATTAGAGACAGAGGAAGTATTAGATCACCACCCTTCAAGTTAAGTTGGTGCTTGTTGTTTTGCTTCAAATACAATGTAAAAAAAACTATCGATTGTGGAACCTCAATTCTGACGGATTTATCAACTAAATGACAATTGACCGATATAACTTCTCATCGTAGAACAAAAGTCATTTTGTATCATATTTAAGAGATTCTTCGTTTGGTGTCGAAGAAGTAAGATAATTCAATCATTATCAAACTGACTGTAATCAATTCATAAATTTAAACATACTATAGATACAATACTAAAGAATTTTAAAATTGATTAAATTATGAATCCGACTTTATTTAAAGAAGGTAATTTTTGTATAAGGGGACGATGATAGAAAAACAATCACATGGTATTGTACATGGAGACATATATATGCAGAAAGAAGGGACATGTTGTTAGTACAATAACAAACACAATTCAGCCCACTTGAAATCAAATCAAACGTTGAAAACACATACAAAACACCAATTTTAAATCAGGTTTAGGCCTCAAACAAAACGTCTTTGCCCGGCCCCCGGTCCCCGGTCCTCCTTCTATATGCATACGAAACATATTTAAGATTTAAATTTAATGAGTATTTAATAATCTCATACAATTAATATGGTGGGTTCACAATATAATATTTATTTGATAAAGTTTTAATAGTTTTTCTCATACACATATTATTTCGTATCAATTTGTTTTTATAATTATTTCCCTAAAAGTTTTATGTCAAATCTCTCTCTATATATCTATTCGTACATGTAAGATATTTTAGGAGATTGTTTTCATGGATGATCGTCAAACTGCACTAATTTAATTTTTGTAACAAAAAGTCACTTCACTTTAACCAAATAATAGTATCATAGGAAGTCATTAAACTATTTTTGTACCAAAATTGCTCAACTTTGCCTAGTTAAGTATCACAAAAAGTCAATATTTTATTTGAATAAAAAAGTCATTTAATATTACTTTGCCTAAGCATCATATAAAATATCTCTTTTATTATCTCCTTATAACTTCATGTAATACTTGAACCAAATAGAGTGACTTTTTGATTAATTACTAAAAATAGTTTATTGAATGTCACGATACTTGAATAAAGTTAAGTGATCTATAGTAAAAAATAATTTAATAAATTTAATGCAAATATATATATTTTGTAGATGTAGAGTTATATTCGTCCATTGTAAAGGGTAGGGCGTCGGCGCCTTTTTATTTTGAGTTCAAATAGTAATAGGTTGCATCAGGCTGGACTGAGATATACTACGTAAAAATAATTTTTAGGCGGCAATTAATTAATGACAATACTCAATTGTCACATATTTTTAGCGGCAATTAACACTCTTTGTATATGTCGCTAAAGCCTTTAGCGGCATTGGATCAAATGACACTTAACTAATGCCGATAAAGACTTTAGCACTCTTTATTAATGTGTCAATTTATTGTCGCGTTGTTTTTGTTGTAGTGATAGATGAGTGTGAATCATTTGAACCCCCCTTCTCTTTTTTTTGGTTGGAAAATTACATTATACTTCATTCATTCATTATTACGTATCCGGTACTAACTTGATGCATTCTTTAAGAAGCAATAAAAACGATAAGAGATTTTCTAAACTAAACAAGTAAAACTGAACGAAGGAAGTATATATACTATATGTATATTTTCTTATATACTATATAATGGCAGAGCTACGGTGGTGTGAGCATGTCATTTGAATATGCTTTATCGGAAAATTACAATATAAATATAGGTCAAATCTTATATTTATACTGATAGATATACGCTTAAAATCAATAGAAACTTGTAATGTAGTGATAAGGATATGATCAAAACTTACACGACGCCTAAGTTTGAATTCCTATGATGAGGTTGCTCTTGCGTTAAACACATGATCTTAGGTTCAAGCCTTGAATATGAAAAAGCGGTTCCCCTCTTGTTTTAATTTGAATTTGAAAAAGTAGAATACCAGATTGAATAACTGTATAATGGTAGTTGATGGATGAGGTAGAAAAGTAGGTGCAGTGACAAAACAAGAAGGTTTCTTGGGCTACTTTTTCCCATGCAATTGTCTTCTTCACATCCAACATCACTTTCTATGTTTTTCCTATTATGTATACGTACCATCACACACTCTCTTTCTCTCTCATTTCGTTGCTGTTTAGTTTGTGGTCCTTTAAAATTTATTACTACTATATAGTTTCATTATTAATATTACCTCCTCCTCTAACTACTCTTAATTAATTGACTACTACTTGTTCTTCCCACTTCACTTGCTATTCAATTAAGTTATACTGATCATCAACTAGCTATTTGAATTGAAGATTTATCTCAAAATATGTCTGGGAGAAGGTCGAGGCAGTCATCAGAAGGAGGCACCTCCAGGATTTCAGATGATCAGATCATACAACTCGTCTCCAAATTGCAGCAACTTCTTCCTGAAATTCGTAATCGTCGCTCCAACAAGGTTTTTATTTCTTCCTTCTATATGCACTTTCATTTTTGGATATATACAAATAGTGTTGAATGCGTTACAGGATGTAGTATGGTATAAGTAATAGACCTCTCATTATAATTCAGCTTGTATGTAGGTTCGAATATGAAATTGTACATGCATCCGTCAGCAGTTACTGGAAATGCACTCTAAAATGTTACTTCATCTGTAATGTCAGTTTAGTCAGAGCAGTTGAGACATTTAGTGCCACGTGAATCTCTCTTTCTTTCTTTTTGTTTTCTATACGCGATCTAAAGCTCATCTTATTCAAAATCATATCGAAAAGTAAGGGTAAAATACTCTTTATTAAAGACAATATCATTTTCACGAGACCTTTGGTTGTATTGATTTAAAATAGCATGATTTCTTTCGCTTTTTAAGAACAATCTGGAAAGAGTTAAAAAATTTGTCGTTGAAAAGGAGAAAATTATTATAAGTTCACAATTTTTTTCGTAATTCCAGAATACTGCTTTGGGTCCCACAATATACTACATACATAGAACCAATTTAGAATATACTCAATATTTGACTTTTTTTTAAAGTCGTTCCACCAATTAAGGTATGTTTTGTCTATGAGTTTAAATTTTGTACATCGACAATAATATTTATAAGTTACATGTTTATATAGAAATCGATAATGAATTTACGAATCGATATGTTGCAGGCATCAGCATCTAAGGTGCTCCAAGAAACATGCAACTATATTAGGAATTTGCATAAAGAGGTGGATGATCTCAGTGATCGACTTTCTCAGTTATTGTCAACCATTGATGCTGATAGTCCAGAAGCTGCAATTATTCGTAGTTTAATTATGTAATTTTCAATCATTTATTTATAAATAATTACTATATTATATATGTTTGGGTGCACTAATCAATCTCCTATATACTTAGTTCTGTATTTCTTCTTTATTTGATCTCTAGATTTTGGTCGATATTAATTAGCTAGGCCAATCTCATAATTAATGGTGTGCTTGTATTGATGTTTACCAATTTTAATTATGGAATTTGCTCAACACTGTCATTCCTTGCTCTAGTTTATATATACTTCCTCTGTCCTATAACATTTTTCATTTATTTTTATTTTTCGAGAGTCAGATTATCAACATTTTAAGATGCTATATTTTTTCATCAATTTGTTATGAAAATAATTGTAATTTATAATGATACTTTTTTTTTTAGTTTTTAAATATTTAATTTATAATTTAAAAATATTAAATTAATTTAATTTAATTTAATTAGCTTCGATAGTTAATCAAATTATTCTAAATTTATATATGAGGGAGGGATTATATTTTTTTATTTCAATTCACACCTATATATCGAAGCAATAAAGTATTCTTAAAGCAGGAAAAATAAATTTTGAATAGCGTATGTGCGACTGCCGACTGTCATTCTTAATGTAGAAACTAAAACATTGCCCAAAAACATTTTAAAAAAATAAAATTAGACAAACACAATATGGTTAATAAAAATATTTTAAAAATGAATTAGTTAAATATAAATTAGGGAAAAAGGTCTGAAATATATCTGAACTTTGACCGAAATTGCTATAACAATCCCGAACTTTGGAAAAGACCTTTTACCCCTTCACTATTTAATAGTGTATTTTAAAGGTATATATATGATCACGTGGACATCATAAATATTGCGTCATTATAAATAGTAACGTGTCCATGTGGGCATATACATACCTTTAAAATACATTATTAAATAGTGCAGGTGGGTAATAGGTCCGGCTTAAAGTTTGGGATTGTTACAGCAATTTCGATCAAAGTTCAGATATATTTCAAACCTTTTTCCCTGTAAATTATTATTTTCTTAAAAAATATTTTTCTAAAAAGCTATTTTGTTTAAAATATTTTTTAAAATAAACAAGTTTTAACTACTTGGCCAAACAAGCAATTAGACCCTGTTTTTACAATAAGATATGTCTCAATCATGTCCTTTGATTGACAAGGGTATTAATCACTCACTCTGTTTCAAGTTGTTTTCGATCTACATAGTTTTAGTTTATTTAAAGAGATATTTTTTAAAAAAATTTAATAGCTTTTTAATTTCAATTTTAATTTTCCTATATTTAAGATTATAATATTAACTCCATGCCAAATCAAAATATATCAAACAAACTGAAACGGAGAAAATAATAACCTTTATATCGGGAAGAATCTAATGACATTCTAGCTAGAGTAATAGAGACATAATGCAGTGATTAGAGTATTGGTTTAATTAATTCTTTATGAAGTGAGAAAACGACTTCTTAACGAAACCATGTCAGCGTCCACAGTAAACTACTCTTTTTATGATTAAAAAAGTTAATTAGATGAATGCATGCCAATAAAATGGGAATAATGTTAGGCTAGAGATAGAAAATCTATAGTGACAATATATTTTGTATATATAGACTATTGTTCACTGTCAGAAATCAGTGACGGATAAAATTTTATAGCTAAACAACAAGAATTTTATGTTAATCTCATTTAACTACGGATAAGGGACAATTATTTAGCAACAAATTAACTATCGATAAATTCTGCAGCTAATTTCATATTTTCTAGTAGTGATATTATGGTCGACATATTTGTAAATGAGATACATATATTAAGAGAAAGGGACATTGAGATTGTGTTTCATGAAAAGGGTGTCTTGGTGTTTTAAAAAATGTCATATTCAAATAAATCATATATATGTAGAGATAGTGAAAAGGGTTGAGCCCTCATCGACTAATTAAGACTTTGATGTTGCCTTTACCTTTATGAATGGTCACCTTTAGAGAGGACACCAAATCAAGAAGCCCTGTGTCATATCAATTTCATTTGTTGAAAACTGATCCCATCTTCACTGTGTCGTCGACAACTATATATTATACAAATATATATATATTTATTCTAATTGACACATCCATCTTTTGAGATATTAATTTTGTGGATTTCAGTATCCCATTCAAATTATTGGCCAATAAGTAACTATCTAGGAACTATATTATTATTCTACTAGGGAAGTAGTTGTACCAAGAGTATTGGATATAAATTTATAAAGTGATTTGTATTATATTAAATTTAAGAGTATATTAGTTCAAATAATTATTGTATATTAATATAATGAAATTAATTATTTAAATTCAATAAAAATGAATTTAATCAAATTTCAATTTTATTGGATCAGTCCATTGATTTGAGCTATAAATGATGAGTTCACTTTGCTAAAGCACAATATATCATGTCACTTAAATCTGTTTGTCCGAAGGAAGCCTGTTTTCATACTAGCTCTTCCATTCTACAATTATGAATAGGGTCCTCATAAATAAAAAATTACACCAAAATTCTAACCAGAAACTAGAGAGAGCACGTGGATCAAACACCGTAGATTTCTCTACAAACTACAAGTTCAAGAATTCAAGCAAACAAATATTTGAGTTAAAAAATCACTCAAGATAAAGATCACTAGATTCAAGAACAAACTCAAAAGTCATTGAATTGAAGTACAAGACAAGATCAAGTTAAAGTTCATCAAGATTCAAGGTCAAAATCAAAAGGCTCTTGAATCCACGTACAAGTCAAGACCAAGTTTATCGAAATTCAAGATCAAGCTTACAAACTCTTGAATTTATTCGAAAAAACGAACAAGAGAATTCATAAAGATTGTAATGCTCAAATTTGAAATAAAATACTATATGATTGTTGCGATATTTTCCAGTCTAGATTATTATTTTCTTGATACAAATTTTACTATTTACAATATATACACATTACATACAAGAGATTTTAGGGCTTGTCGAAGCTTTTGATTGTAACAAATTGAAATCGAAGATACACCAAGATATTTGTTGCTTCCCAAGTTGATAGGTGAATGACACAATGTATAAAGTAAATTGTACATTAATAACATGATCTGTTGATCCTAAGCAATGTCTGATGAACACGATTTATTTTGATTTTTGAAAAGCTAGCCTTTATTTTAGGACAACACTAAATAAAAATGCCACCAACCGGCCATATGCGGGCCATTACAGAGGACTGCACTGGCATTAAATTTGACCGCAGGGTCCATCTTATAGATTTGTATTGAATTTATTGAAATTATAAGTAAAAGGACGTGGATGGGAAAGGGATTTAAAAATAAAATAAAATAAAAATTCCTCGATTTAATAATCATTGTCCACTATATTATTTTAGAATATCTAACTCTTCTTATCCATGAAATCAATGGATAATATTACATTTAATTCCTAATTTATTCTTATCATTAATTGTAGTCATTTTCCTATATTACATTTTTCAAGACATTATGTTCAGCCATTCAGGGATTTAAAGGGTGATATAGTAAAATTATCCTTCTATTTATAGTTTCTTAAAAAGTGTGCACAGTCAATAATGAACAAATATAATTCAACAGAGGGAGTATATATATAAAAAAGAGCAACTTTCACATATAGCAAACACAAAATTCATATTTGTATGCTATTGCAAAATTTGCATAATTGCGCTCCATAGCAAACATAAATATGTATATTTCGCTATACATATACAAAAGAAAGCAGTTGTATAATCTGCTTTGGTATACATATACAAAAAGATCAATTGTATAAAGTGAGAGAGGCGAGTGAGCGAGCGAGATCTAGGAGAGGGGAACGAAAATATATGTATATATACAATTTTCTCTCGCTTTATACAAACACAAACACACTTTATACACTTGCGTTTGTATAAAAAATGAGAGAGGCGAGGGAGAGAACGAGAGTGGCGAGCGAGATTCACCAGAAGAGAGGTGAAATAGC